GCATGATAGCTTCTATAGGAAGCATATTTGTCCATCAAATTCAATACATCAAATTATAATGGCAAAATCATTTATTCACCACAGAGGGCGCTTATCACCAATACGTAATGGTCTGCTAAATAAAACAAAAGTTGGACTGCAGAAAATTTTTAGCATTTCGAAAAACTGTAGTGAATATACAATAAAAGTTCACTGAAATCAAATTATTTGTTATTAATATCTGTATTTACATTCCATTATTCTTACACATATTACATTAATATTCATGTTTGTTTAAGGTCTAACATGGGCATGTTATGTTTCTATAGCAACTCACCTGACAACCTCTGCCAATGTATCTGTTATATCATCCATTGTCAAGTAACTTGATAGATCTACATTTCTACGATATCCCCATGAGCCCCGATCAACAGTCGTACAATCCTCCCATTTTCGTTTCTGTAAGACACCTACAACAAAGTATTGTTCATTGGAAGACATCATTTTTGGTTTGCCCATAATGAAAGAGAAGAGGAAAGTCACAGTAGTGGCAAAGTGTCTTGTCAGTCGTCAAGTGTTGTTGTTGTCGTCATTGTCTTAAACTTTCCTTCTGAGCGATTCACTCCAAAAATATTCAACCAATCGCTATCGAACTTATATATATATATATATATATATATGTTAATCTGTAGTTATAGTAGGCCTTGTATAAATTTTGAAGTTGATCTTCCGAAAATTTTATTTTTGGTTATTATTGAAGCTTTCTTTTTAAAGTTTACAAGTAAATACCCCTGTAGAGTCCTTTGGGAAACTTCATAGTGCAGAGGTTAAGACCATGCAAATGGGAGATGGAGATGGAGAGATCATATCTCACGCTCAAAACGTGTTTTTTTTTAACTTCTTTATTTTATTCATTAACAAATGTGTACTAGAGCTGTTGTGGGATGTGCAGACATGATTTCTTTTTGTAGTCAATCGTTCTATCTTAAGCTGTAATCTGCCTCACCTACAAAATGATATCCCCCACTCTATGCTAATATCTGCCTCCCCTTACATATACACAGCAATCAATGTTTATTTGCTGACTTGGATAAAATACATGTATATGAAATAACAGGCAAACACTGCATCATGTTGAAATAATACTTATTGGTTATACATGATATATAATTAAATTGGCGAGTGATAAATTTTCACAAATATCTTAAGTCAGTGAAATTTGTGTAGCAGTGCACATTTTACTGGGTTCCTTAGACATGGAATGTACATCAAACTATTGATGCAGCATGTGTGATATACTATATTTACACATCTCACTGTGATTGGTTTTATTTATTATGTCACATGACATTTCAGGGTTGCTTTCTAGCTTTGGAAGGAGCTTAGCTATCCGAAATGGTCAGCGAACATGCCAGAATGGATATTAAGTTCTGATATTTAGGATATTCTTTTTTATTAAACTATGTATGGCAAATCAGCCACTGAAACATCACATCTGAGATCGGTGCAAGGCATCCTATGCTGTGAACATTCTACACATACCACATTGATGCTCATTGAGAATGCACTTAGCTGAATGACTTGTGAATAGAAGGTGGGGTAAGTTTGTGTTGAAAGTCATATTGCATTTACTTCCACGGCATACTTGCATTTTTATCTGAAGAGTGGTGAAATAACTGGAGGGTTTTGATGTACAGTCTGAATTAGGCAGAGGGTCCTAGAAACCCGCCTATTCACATAGTTCATACCCACCATAGACTCCGGTCAGTCAAAATGACTATTTTGAACTGTAGGCATTAATCTGCGATTCAGCCAATGACTGAGAAATAAATCTAGGTCAGGGGAAGCCCCATGACCTTGATGTTTTCCTTTACGTCACAAACCACATGACTGAGGCCAAAAGGCACAGCCATATTGGCCAAATACGTCACTCTGGCTCCTTCTTTCTCCGCACCAAGGACTAAGCCAACAGTCCTATGGTGAGAAAAATATCAGAGAGAGATCTGAATCATCCCACAATGTCACTGATACTAAAACATCAACATAAGCAGGATCTAGCCATAGTACTGTTCAACGTTACATGAGACCAAACAGATTCAGATCCTGATAACTTTTAAATTTTAGTTGTTGGTACTACTGCTGTATTCAGATGGTTGCTATGATACTGAATGTGTGATTCGGGAGGGTCAATTTCATAATTAGTTGGTATATAGTAAATCGTATTTCTTGCAGCCTTGAGGTTCTTTCCCAAAAAGTGGCTATACTAAAAGTGTGTTTGAAAAAAAAGTCAAGGTAGTAAATTTTACTGGTAGAAGACAGAGCATTTACAACTGGCCACTTCATACTACATTTCCTTACCTGGATTGTAATGGTCATTGCATGTCAGGTAGCCACCATGTTTGCATTTACAGTTAGAACCCCATCTGTCATTGACAACAACTTTGTCCTTTACAGGGCTAGAAATAATAAAAACACCCTAATTTACACACAAGGCGCTTTAGTAATGGGTGATAGTTGGTATATCATCACAAGGGTTGTTTGAGTGGTGAGATATAATTGGTGAATGGTCAGAAGGAATTAGGGATAGGTCTCATGGGCTGGTAGTTTTTATTTGATTGGTTATGAGCCAAATGATGTTGGTGGTTGACCAGATGAAGAGGGTGATTGGCCTATTGGAGTTGGTGGACAGCCAGTTAGTAATAATTTAAGTAACACGAGTTTGCTTGTACCAGCTTGTACATTGGGTTGGTCATTAGGTAATGATTAGGTAGGCTGCATTTGGTTGATGGTTGGGTGTAGTTAGTAGCAGATCAGCTGTGTTGGTAGTTTGCCAGCTTGGTTAGTGATTGGCCAGATGGGTTGGCCAGATGGGTTGGAAGTTGGCCAGATGATTTGCCAGATGGAGATGGTGGTTAGCCAGTTGGAGTTGGAGTAAGTAACACAAGTTTGGTCATGCCATTAGGTCGAATAGTAGGTGTAAGGTTTGGTCAGACAGGATTA